AACAAAACCCTTGGGAAGAAATATGATTTTAGAAACATCGAGGGGAATGAGACTTAAGCCACTAGCAAACAAACAAGTGATGGTAACCCAACCTTTGTGATTGGAGATCCCATGAATAAGGTTCATATGGGTAAAAACAAGTCACTTGTTAGTTCTGATAGCACTAATTTGATTTTAAATCAAATATGTCCATTCCTATGGTGTGTGTGAAAGTGCTAGAGACTACATTATTAAGAGGTTAAATTTTGTAATTAAACAAAGTTTTTATTGATCTTCATATCCCTTATGGGTGGTGTATGATTTGCAGCATACACTTGATGAAATCACGTATATGAGTGTCAAGTAGGGTCGCTTGCATGAGATCTTGGCATGATCTCTAGAGCACTTATGAATACCAGGCACGCGCATGGCCTAGTAAGCGCATCACAGCGATAACAACAAGGATTATGGGGGTGTACTGTGATTGATAAACATCTAACACACTCAAGTGTCTTTGGTTCATATAGCTTGCTATACCAACTATACTGTGTGTTAAGTTTCTTGATCTAAGACTGGTTCATATAGCTTGCTATACGAGCTCTGATGCATTACATCTTGTGAAACCCAGAATAATTTCTTTTCTCTTTCATTTTTATATATCTTTTGCAATATGTGGGGGATTGTTATTATTTTGAATATAATATTGCAAAGTATATTTTAACGTTGATACATTTCGCAAGTCTCGTGTGATGTGGTTGCCAACGTTAAATTTTTTAATGTGCAACGTTCAAATTGTTGCTGCATGGACAAAACCACTTCCGCAAGGCACGGGATTTTTCCCATTGGCTTTGGGCCTTAAGCCAATCTTCGTTGATTTCCTACTCTATAAATAGAGTGACTTTGTTCATTCCAAACACAGACTTTCACACTCTTCTCTTTTTCTCATTCTCTTATTATCCTTTTGTTTTCTCTCCTTTATTTTATTTCTTAAAAATATTCCGGGTTTATTTTTATTCTCTTTTTAAGAGATCCTTGCTAGTTTTGAGATCTTCAGAAATTCTGAAAAGTTCCTGTTGTATCTTGGGGGGCTTGCGCAATACACCGCGGATAAATCCTCAAGATTAGTGATCTACACGCCTCAGGAAGTCTTTTGTTCGTGATCTTTATTTTATTATTGTCAGCTTCTACAACAGAAATTTCCTTAAGTTGAGCTTAAGTATGACTCAGCATGACTCAGCATGAAGTTCGAACTTTTGGTAATAGAGTTTGGGGTTTGTTAGATATAATTTGGAGTGGAGTTTGAACTATAAGTAATCAAGTTCGGGATTCATTAGATATATTCTACTATATTACCTAGTCCAACCATGTCCAAAAGGGTATTTGCATACTATATTACCTAAGACATTCATACTTAACAAACAAACAACTAGTCTAAAACAACATTTAAAGGCTAAAATTTTAAAACAGAAATCAAAGTGTAGTAAATTTAAAGTGCAAAAAAATTTAAAAAGAACTTTTGTTTTTATTGGTTAATGTTGGCGGGGGACTTCTTTATTGCTTTCCTACATCAAGGGATACAAAGGTTCTTTCAAAGTCAAAGAATTCATCAAACTCTTGTCGTCTTCCTTTTGTTGCGGTTGTCTCGTCATTGCTATAAGGTTGTTCACTTCCTTCTTTTTTGTAAATTTTCAAATACTTCAATTTACCCTCCTTAGATTCACCAACTTTGGTATTGATGTCTTTTTATTCTTGTGGTTTTCCTTTTGAGGTTCCAATATCAACATTGGTGCCTCCTGAATTTTTTGAACCACCAACATCATGTTGTTGCTAGAATTGTGTTGTACTTGAGGCTCATGCTCTGTTTATGTTGATGTTGTTGTTGTGGCTTTGTTGCTGCACTTGATATTGCACCTCCAATCCCCTCTTCTTCAAAAGAATTGTTCCCAAGCCAAGTTGTGAACATTATGAATTTCTTAGGGTTCATGTATTGAAAGGGTTGATTGAGTTGTTATTTTTAAACAAAGTTGAATAGGATGATTTGTAAGACCATCTGAGTCCAATGGTTTGCTACCAATTATTGTTGCACGTATGAAAGACGTGACTCAATGCATTGTAGGGATTCTTCTTGTTTCTTGAACTGTTGGTATTGGAATTATGCTCTAGCGCGGATTGAGGTTCTAGCATTAGACCCTGCACATTATCCAACTCATTTGTGCAGTTAGCTTGAATGTATGCCTTGTTGATTGACAACCTCATCTTCTTTGGATGAGGCGGAATATCCACCCCTTGCATTTTTCATAATTTAGTGAGGCTTGAGAAGGCTATTAGTTTTGCTGTCTGCTGGATGTGGGTTCTAAGATTGCTATCTTGAAAATTCCACATCCAATAAATAACCTAGCATGATGTAGTAAATCATTTGTGCTTGCATTATATGAGGCTTGATACATGCGAATTGGGGGTCACATTTACAAAGAGAAAAGTCATCCAAATTTGTGTGATTATTCTCACGTTGGCTCTTTGTATCCATTGAGGCTACCATATCTTGTCCAACTCAAATGTTTTATCCTTGTACGCGTAGTAGGACTGTGAGCCTTTCAGAAGTCATATCTTTAATTAGATTTTGGAATTCTCTTTTTTCTTCCTCTGATGTTGCTCCAACTCTTAAGAGTTCCCTTATAGTGTCCTATCATATTGAACTAACTCTCTTTCCTCTAACCCAACATGCTCTCCTTTTTCATGTTTCTATTTTAAAGTGTAGGCATTTGCATAAAACTCCCTCACAATGAGTTCATTGTAAGAGTTCTTTGGTTTGATCAACTTGTGTCATCTTCTTTATTTAATGACTCTAGTGAATTCCTGAAATATAAAGCTTCAAATGGGTGAATTGTTAGTGAGAGAGTTGTAGGAATGTTGTATCATAGTTTGTCTAGGTGAATGATATTGATATCACATTCTAGGTGAATGATATTGATATCACACTAAAAAATGGATGAGAATGCAAGGAACAAGTAATGAGGTTTGATCATCATAAGTTACTCAAGGTAAAAATTAAATTTATATAATCCATAATTATATAAAATGCTCACAAAGAGCAAACTTGATTTTATTTTACAATTAATATATATTTTTATTGCATTAGATATTCATCCTTTGTTAGACTAAATTATGTAAGGCTTATAAATTACACATTAATTCTTAGTAAGTAGTTTTAAATATCAATTAAAAATTAATTAATTCTTAGTAAGTTATTTTTAATATCTAATGATAATTAATTTTCTCACTTATATTTATGCATTATTGCTTTTGATCATGAGAATATGAACAATTCACCTATTCTCTTAATTTTCTATATTACCATATAAAAGTTCAATCTCTTTAAAAAAATATAAAAAAAAAACTCAAAATTATACTAAGTGAGACTAGAAAATGTGCATATTTTATTAGACGGTTACAATAATCCATATAACATGTATCGAGGTGAGAATATGGGTTATAAAATCCATAAAAAGATCTCCTCGTACTTTTGCTAGAAGGGGACCCTTTAGTTTTGTTTGATAAAGTTCTTAACATCTTTCGTCCAACCCGACCAATACAAATACACAAATTATGAGATTAAGTTTGACACTTGAAAGGCCAGCTGCTGGAGAAGAATGAAATTCATGTAAGGATGCATTGGAATACCTCTTGGTGGGAAGGATGAACACCTCTTCTGCTAGAATAACAGCTTCAGTCTTGCACTTCTTGAAACAATCATGAAATGAGTCAAATTTAATCAAACCCACTTCTGGTTAAAATCAGATTAAATCAAATTTTTGTTCAACTTTCTTTTCATATAAATTTTAGGATTAAATATATTCTTATTTTCTAAAATTGCATCCAAAATTGAAATTTTCTATTTTAAATTTTGTTATATTTTAATCTCTAAACTTTAAAAATAAATATAAATATAGTTTTTTTAATTCTAAAACAATAATTTTTTTTACATATTAAACAATATTTTAAATTGAGCTAGAACATGTCAAACATATAAACTGTTCAAACACAATCCAAAATAAGTTTAATACATAAAAAAGTTTCACACTATTGAATCAGAAGAATTATGTAATTTTTAAAGTTTAATAATCAAACTATATAAAAGTTTTTATTGTTTTAAAAAACGAATTTCAAATTTACATCTTAGTTCACCACTAAAAACATTTATTCCTAAAAGTTATTCTCATACATGTATAATTGACTTCTAGTTTTCTTACATATTGATTGATCAAATATTTGAACATGAGATGCTTTGAAGTGAAATATTTAGATCTGGAGGGATTGAGGTATGAATCAATGAAAGATAATTGAATAAACTCTAAATTTCATTCAAAATATAGTAAAATATCTAAACTTCATGGTAACGTGGGAGTTCATTTGATTATTCAATTAGATAATAATCCTGTAAATATCCCCTCCTGAGTCAATCTATTAATTTGATCATGGACGTATAACCATTACTTTGCTCAATTGACAAAATACCTACGAGTTTGTAAACTCTGGTTTAAAATGATTTAAAAATAACTAATTGACTAAAGTATGATATTTTAAAAGTAGTTGAATAAGAAAACTAACTTTCTCCAGTCAAACACCCTTGGTTCTCGGAGTATATTCTAGTATCGACCACAGTTCTGAAACAAGTCCTAAAATATTTACTTATAAGAATTAATAATGTGAATAGTTTTTTAATTTTAAATCTTTGTAAGATACATTCACAAAACATCTAACGTACATGATTTTTTTTATTTCACAATTTTCTTATCAGATCATTCATAAAACCTAATGAGACAATCAAACAAAATCAGTCCAAAGTCTGTCTGAATTGACACCCAGTAGCACTTATGTCATTGTTGTGCCATATTTAGAACCATAATGGAAGCAGGAATTTTGGAATCAGAAGGAAACAAAACAGAACAATGCACAATCAAATCTCTCCACAACCCACATGCACAAGTTTGCTACCACTCCAATTCCTGACTAATCCAATAAGCAAGCAAGAAAGGAATCACTAAGAAAAAAGAAAAACAAACAAATGCATAGCCTCAGTTCCCAAAGGCATGCTACTAGAGTTTGGCTTCATCAAAAGCCCTTAGATATTGCTACTCAAAACAAACAAATCAACATCTGTTGTTCTCTTTTTCCACTCTTACTTCTCACATGGCCAAAATTTCGAGTCCCTTTCATACTCATCCCTACATGTGCACATTCAGGAGTATCTACCACTAGTAAAACAAAACTAGAAGAAAAAAGACAAAAGATGAGTATGCAAGTTTCACGGTGAGGAACAACAAGCCAAGAACTTCAATTCATAGTTTCAAATTAAGATCAACATTTTCTCCCACTTCATGACCATTCTGAATCCTGGCTGCTGTATGTCCAATCTGTTCCTCCTTTGGTTCTGGATGGAAGAAGCCATACAGTGGTTGCTTTTGTTGATTGAACAGCCTGTACACTGGCGGAGCAGGGATTTGTTCTTCTACATTTCCCTTTACCAAGTGAAATACAAGAATGAATCATGAAATACCAAAATGGAGAATAGAAACTCAAGTTCAGGACATACCTGGTTTTGACATGCTACGAGAGTTGAAGATGGCGTGGACTTTGGAGGTTGATAAGAAGTAGGAGATGGAGGAGCCAATGTGAGAAAGTCTCCATTGAAACTCTCATTCTCTTCACTTCTTTTCTTTGAGTTTGGCTTAGAGTTGGATGCTGAAGCGAGTGTGACTTCTCTGCAGATGGTACAGAAACACATTCTATGAGAAGACAAGAACTACAACATAAGGGTCAAAAGGTTAACCTGAAACTACCTGGAAGTTGAATTGCCAGCCTCAAAGTTAAATTCGCTACCGTTTCCACACGAAGTTTTTACATTTGTTCTTGTTTCAGCAAAGGGTGGCATATTATAATTGAAAGCAGGGGCATGGGGAAAATTCAAGGAGAAAGGGTATGGCCTTTTTGTTCCAACTGTCTGCATTAAGTTTCAAACACCAATATAGAATCAAATAAACTGAAAAAGTTCTAAGGAAAGTCTGTTCCATCAAAACGTACAAGTTCTTACATGATTATGATCTGACTATTCAACTGAACAAGCTGAGAAATTCATGCATATAAAGTAGGAATTGTTTACTAGTACTCTAATGGGTAATTCATGCACTTTTCTCTTCCATCTACTTTTTCCACCACATCCACTACATTCTACAATCTTCTATTGTAAACCACATTCTTCACATCTAATAACAGATTCATGATTATAGTGCTATGAACCAACCTCCACCTTCCTAAGGGTCCAATGAATCTTCCTGAACCCATGTCCTATCACGCAAAAAAGTTCATGTGTCCTTGCAAGAGACCATCGCATCCATGTGCAGCCACCACAGAAGATACCACAAAGCTTTTCCAGCATCTCATCGATAACATATATATATAGTAGATACCAAACTGAAATACTCAAATTACTTTAAGAGCACAAATTGCACATACCTTATCAGTTGGTCTCACAGGCACACTACTGTCATTATTATTGCTTTGGTTTGAAGGGGGCTCTATTGAGAAATGAGGCATGGGTGTTGATGAAGTTCCTGATGAGACATTCACCTACATGTTAAATATACCAATTATGTTTTATTACCAGGGAAGAGAATGTGATGAACAGATGAGATAATGAAAACCACATCATATAAATTAAAAAGAGAGACACCGAGCTACATATTCAATAAACCAATCAATCCTTTTATTCCATGGGAAGAAAATGTGATGAATACATGGAAAATGAAACTCCCATGATACGAACTAAAAAAGAAAATGTCTTACCACTGATGAAGAAGATTGGTGTTGATATTGTGGTGTTCTCTGAGCCAAATTGGGCATAGGCCAAATGGAGTTGGATTCAAAAGGCAAACTTAGCAGAATTGGCAATCCTGAGTCATCCACTCCAAATTTGTTCTTCTCAGAATCATATTGATAGGAACTCCACCACTTGGGAACATTCTCGTGTCCAGGAACAACGGGCCAACCAGTTCCAAAGCCACCACTGTTTGTCAATGGAACATTGCTAGGAACTTTATCATTAATGGGTGGTTGCTGCTGCTGCTGCTGCTGCTGCTGCTGTTGCTGTTGCAATGACAAACGGGACCTAAATTCTGATGTTGGCTCACAAGTTAAAAGAGATGTGGAAGGTGATTGGTTGGAGTCATGAAAATTCTTAAGTGGGAGAGGCAGATATGATGGTTTGGTTGATGGTAAAGCAGTTTGAGATGGTGAAATTGGAGGTTCATCTCCCTTTTGTTGTTCTTCTAGTCTTATCTTTTCAAGTTGTGCCACACCAAGTCCCCTTTGTGGCACCTTTTTCTGCTTTGACTTCTTAGAAGATCTACCAAGGCTCCCCATGCCTATACCTTCACTGTTTCTCTGATCTTCCTGAGGCATTGTTGCATCATCTTCCATTTAATCCAAATCTATCTAATCTAAAGTATATGACAAAAACCAGTCTCCCAAAGTTTCAATCTTGCACCATCACTGTCTCCAAGACTAAATTTTTAAGCAAAACCAAGATACCCAATATCAAGATTCCAGAGAGAGAGAGAGAACAAAGTGTTTGATAATTGATAACTAAATCCCATCACTGTGATCTGAAAGCCAAATCAACGTGTACTTGAAGATTGCCTAAAAATTTGTGGAACAAACCGAGAAGGCAAGCCAAATATTCAGCAAAGACCACGAAGATGATGAGAGAGAAGGAATCTTAAAGATCACGGATTTTTCTGACTTGAAGTTGCTGGTTTGAGATTTATAGGAAGTAACTGAATCCCAAAAGAAAAGATGGAAAAGAAAAAGGCTATATTTTCTGAAAATTCAATCTAGAGTAACCATGAATCATAATATTCAATCACTCATTTATCTGCCAAATCCTCGCTCTACTAGTCTACCCTCCTTATTTTGTTCCTAGACCGACTCTCACGTTGTCTCAATATGACAGAGTTGTACTTGTAGTAATAGACGTTGTTTCTCTCTCCAAATAATGTTTTTGAGTTCTAAAAGTAGCTAAAAGACAGTTTTCGTAGAAACTGTCATCTTAGCTTGTTTGTTTGTTCTATTTCATTTCAAGTAGTGGACCCCTCAACCTTGTTAGCTTTTCTTGTCCCCACTGTTCATCGTTTTTATCTCTTATCAAATCAAATCCTATCATCACTGATATTATATTGACTTAATAACTCCAACAGAATCTCCTATAATACCTTTTTTCTATGGATCCTCTTGCTTTTATATTATAAATAGTAGAAATATATTTAATGTTTTATTCATATGCATTTATTTTCTTTTCGTTTGGTAAGAGAATTTTAAAGAAGATACTTTTAATATAGATTGCATGTATCTTCATTAATAATGGGTCAAATTTATTTATGCTTGTGCATTAAAAACAACATAATTGTGTATTTAAATTTGAAATTAAATCGGAACAATATTTGATGAGTGTATTTAAATATTCAATATGTTTTTAAAGAAGTTATAACACTTTTTAAAAAGAAAACAAGTTAAATATCTTTTCTTTCTCCATTCTTCTACTTATTAACTTTTTACTGTAAATATTTATTATGTTTTATATTTTAAATAAATATGAAGCAAGTAGTTGTGAAGACAAAAGAATGTGGATTTTGGATGAAACTTTCGAATGAGGGGGGCATACTATAGAGGGAAAAAAAAGAGAGTGAAAAACTTAGAAAAATATTAAATTTAATTTCAAACTAATTGGAAATAGCATGTTCTCTATCTTATGTGGAAAACAAGAGTAAGATACGTTTATTTTCATGCACATCTTCTTATTGAATGTATTGTAAGCAAGTTTTCATTTAAAAAAGAAAAAATCATTTAGCAGAGTCATATATAAGTCCCTTGAATTTTCATAGAGGGATTAGATCAACATGATTCTTAATTTGGTGAAACACACGTAAGGCATGTGCATAGGTTTTGAGTCTCGTAATGCATTCAATCGAGCAAATTATAGAGATAAAAATCACCATAAGCAAAGACATCACAATTTCCTATGGTGTCAAAGCGCCTACACTTAAATGACTTTATATGAAATGACTTAATTTGATATAATTTATTCTTTTATAAGTTAAACTACTCTTCTTTTTTTCCTAGTTTTTGTTAAAATAATTTAAGTACTTTTCTTTATTATTTTTTTCAATTAAGTTTTATATTTTAAAAATTTGATTCAATTAGATTATTTCTACCAACTATGTTAAGAACATCTCATGTGCCAATTTATATTTTTTTTTGTTTTTATTTATTTATTTATTTTCAAAACTTATTACTTATCATAATGTCATGTGTGTCGACACCACGTATTGGTGTCAAAGTTATTATTTTATATTCAATTTAATTACTATATTTTTTTTTACTAANCTTTGAAGTGAAATATTTAGATCTGGAGGGATTGAGGTATGAATCAATGAAAGATAATTGAATAAACTCTAAATTTCATTCAAAATATAGTAAAATATCTAAACTTCATGGTAACGTGGGAGTTCATTTGATTATTCAATTAGATAATAATCCTGTAAATATCCCCTCCTGAGTCAATCTATTAATTTGATCATGGACGTATAACCATTACTTTGCTCAATTGACAAAATACCTACGAGTTTGTAAACTCTGGTTTAAAATGATTTAAAAATAACTAATTGACTAAAGTATGATATTTTAAAAGTAGTTGAATAAGAAAACTAACTTTCTCCAGTCAAACACCCTTGGTTCTCGGAGTATATTCTAGTATCGACCACAGTTCTGAAACAAGTCCTAAAATATTTACTTATAAGAATTAATAATGTGAATAGTTTTTTAATTTTAAATCTTTGTAAGATACATTCACAAAACATCTAACGTACATGGTTTTTTTTTTTTCACAATTTTCTTATCAGATCATTCATAAAACCTAATGAGACAATCAAACAAAATCAGTCCAAAGTCTGTCTGAATTGACACCCAGTAGCACTTGTGTCATTGTTGTGCCATATTTAGAACCATAATGGAAGCAGGAATTTTGGAATCAGAAGGAAACAAAACAGAACAATGCACAATCAAATCTCTCCACAACCCACATGCACAAGTTTGCTACCACTCCAATTCCTGACTAATCCAATAAGCAAGCAAGAAAGGAATCACTAAGAAAAAAGAAAAACAAACAAATGCATAGCCTCAGTTCCCAAAGGCATGCTACTAGAGTTTGGCTTCATCAAAAGCCCTTAGATATTGCTACTCAAAACAAACAAATCAACATCTGTTGTTCTCTTTTTCCACTCTTACTTCTCACATGGCCAAAATTTCGAGTCCCTTTCATACTCATCCCTACATGTGCACATTCAGGAGTATCTACCACTAGTAAAACAAAACTAGAAGAAAAAAGACAAAAGATGAGTATGCAAGTTTCACGGTGAGGAACAACAAGCCAAGAACTTCTATTCATAGTTTCAAATTAAGATCAACATTTTCTCCCACTTCATGACCATTCTGAATCCTGGCTGCTGTATGTCCAATCTGTTCCTCCTTTGGTTCTGGATGGAAGAAGCCATACAGTGGTTGCTTTTGTTGATTGAACAGCCTGTACACTGGCGGAGCAGGGATTTGTTCTTCTACATTTCCCTTTACCAAGTGAAATACAAGAATGAATCATGAAATACCAAAATGGAGAATAGAAACTCAAGTTCAGGACATACCTGGTTTTGACATGCTACGAGAGTTGAAGATGGCGTGGACTTTGGAGGTTGATAAGAAGTAGGAGATGGAGGAGCCAATGTGAGAAAGTCTCCATTGAAACTCTCATTCTCTTCACTTCTTTTCTTTGAGTTTGGCTTAGAGTTGGATGCTGAAGCGAGTGTGACTTCTCTGCAGATGGTACAGAAACACATTCTATGAGAAGACAAGAACTACAACATAAGGGTCAAAAGGTTAACCTGAAACTACCTGGAAGTTGAATTGCCAGCCTCAAAGTTAAATTCGCTACCGTTTCCACACGAAGTTTTTACATTTGTTCTTGTTTCAGCAAAGGGTGGCATATTATAATTGAAAGCAGGGGCATGGGGAAAATTCAAGGAGAAAGGGTATGGCCTTTTTGTTCCAACTGTCTGCATTAAGTTTCAAACACCAATATCGAATCATATAAACTGAAAAAGTTCTAAGGACAGTCTGTTCCATCAAAACGTACAAGTTCTTACATGATTATGATCTGACTATTCAACTGAACAAGCTGAGAAATTCATGCATATAAAGTAGGAATTGTTTACTAGTACTCTAATGGGTAATTCATGCACTTTTCTCTTCCATCTCCTTTTTCCACCACATCCACTACATTCTACAATCTTCTATTGTAAACCACATTCTTCACATCTAATAACTGATTCATGATTATAGTGCTATGAACCAACCTCCACCTTCCTAAGGGTCCAATGAATCTTCCTGAACCCATGTCCTATCACGCAAAAAAGTTCATGTGTCCTTGCAAGAGACCATCGCATCCATGTGCAGCCACCACAGAAGATACCACAAAGCTTTTCCAGCATCTCATCGATAACATATATATATAGTAGATACCAAACTGAAATACTCAAATTACTTTAAGAGCACAAATTGCACATACCTTATCAGTTGGTCTCACAGGCACACTACTGTCATTATTATTGCTTTGGTTTGAAGGGGGCTCTATTGAGAAATGAGGCATGGGTGTTGATGAAGTTCCTGATGAGACATTCACCTACATGTTAAATATACCAATTATGTTTTATTACCAGGGAAGAGAATGTGATGAACAGATGAGATAATGAAAACCACATCATATAAATTAAAAAGAGAGACACCGAGCTACATATTCAATAAACCAATCAATCCTTTTATTCCATGGGAAGAAAATGTGATGAATACATGGAAAATGAAACTCCCATGATACGAACTAAAAAAGAAAATGTCTTACCACTGATGAAGAAGATTGGTGTTGATATTGTGGTGTTCTCTGTGCCAAATTGGGCATAGGCCAAATGGAGTTGGATTCAAAAGGCAAACTTAGCAGAATTGGCAATCCTGAGTCATCCACTCCAAATTTGTTCTTCTCAGAATCATATTGATAGGAACTCCACCACTTGGGAACATTCTCGTGTCCAGGAACAACGGGCCAACCAGTTCCAAAGCCACCACTGTTTGTCAATGGAACATTGCTAGGAACTTTATCATTAATGGGTGGTTGCTGCTGCTGCTGCTGCTGCTGCTGCTGTTGCTGTTGCAATGACAAACGGGACCTAAATTCTGATGTTGGCTCACAAGTTAAAAGAGATGTGGAAGGTGATTGGTTGGAGTCATGAAAATTCTTAAGTGGGAGAGGCAGATATGATGGTTTGGTTGATGGTAAAGCAGTTTGAGATGGTGAAATTGGAGGTTCATCTCCCTTTTGTTGTTCTTCTAGTCTTATCTTTTCAAGTTGTGCCACACCAAGTCCCCTTTGTGGCACCTTTTTCTGCTTTGACTTCTTAGAAGATCTACCAAGGCTCCCCATGCCTATACCTTCACTGTTTCTCTGATCTTCCTGAGGCATTGTTGCATCATCTTCCATTTAATCCAAATCTATCTAATCTAAAGTATATGACAAAAACCAGTCTCCCAAAGTTTCAATCTTGCACCATCACTGTCTCCAAGACTAAATTTTTAAGCAAAACCAAGATACCCAATATCAAGATTCCAGAGAGAGAGAGAGAACAAAGTGTTTGATAATTGATAACTAAATCCCATCACTGTGATCTGAAAGCCAAATCAACGTGTACTTGAAGATTGCCTAAAAATTTGTGGAACAAACCGAGAAGGCAAGCCAAATATTCAGCAAAGACCACGAAGATGATGAGAGAGAAGGAATCTTAAAGATCACGGATTTTTCTGACTTGAAGTTGCTGGTTTGAGATTTATAGGAAGTAACTGAATCCCAAAAGAAAAGATGGAAAAGAAAAAGGCTATATTTTCTGAAAATTCAATCTAGAGTAACCATGAATCATAATATTCAATCACTCATTTATCTGCCAAATCCTCGCTCTACTAGTCTACCCTCCTTATTTTGTTCCTAGACCGACTCTCACGTTGTCTCAAT